GCCAAGGAAGTTCTCTGCTTTTAAGCTTTTGTATTAACTTTTCCTTTTTTGTAATAATATTCACATTTTACTTTAGACAATGTAATAAGTATTTAATTAGGAAAGTAAATCTCAGTCCAAATAAAATCAATATACCAACCATTATGTTATTCAAATCATAGCATACCAAGTTTTACAAATGATGATCGAAAAAACAATCTTATCCATTAGACCATAGTGGCCGCATATGGGTTCATGGCAAGACGTACTAGCTGTCACAATTCAATCCAAAATGTAATGTCAAACCGCATAGTTTACAACATATTGAGTATGTTCCATTAGTATGTACTTTCATAACTTTTTATTGTTTTTGAACACTATTGAGGAGAAAGCGAGAGAAAATGATGGAAAGGAAAATAGCGGCCTACTTTCATAACTTGTTATAAATAAATGGTGTTTGATGATAATGTATAGTTAAATCAAAATTATTTTGGCACCATCATGTTCTAGTAAAAAAGAAGATATTGCATTTTAACACACACAAAACCAGAAAGAAAAAGAAGAAAATATAATTGAGGTTGGGGATAGTACCAAAATGTGGGCAAAGACCATCATCGGACAAGTAACACCGGTCGAGAGTCCTGCAGGTCCCCAACCAACCAAAAAATATCAAAAGCTAACATTATAAATCGCACCTAAAACATTACTCATCGGATCTTTGGAGTGCCTTACAAAAAGCTGACACCAATTTCTTACCTTTTTATCGTCACGATAATAATTTTTGATATCTCTTCCTCGTTGGGGGTAGGTTTAGATATCTTATTGAACTACATTATATCTATAATTTTAAATATTATAAATTGGATAGACAAAATATCCGAGATCCGATCCGAAACCTATTTTGATCCATCTATACTCTATATTGCTTTTGATTTTTATGTTCTTGATACATTTTCATTTAATGCTATTATATTCTTTGAACTCAGTATTCTTCGTTTTAATAACAAAAAGTATGATATGATATGAAAATGTATAATTGGATTAACACAATCAACAATTTCTCTCATTGTTTTTCAGAAATAGTGTATTTAAATATTTTGTTTATTTTGTTAATTATGAGTACGATTTGTTTGTTATCTACAAATATTCATAGAGTTGGAAAGAGCCCACAAGATCAATGATTAAAATATACACAAAAAGGCTTAATGATTAACAAGAAATTTCTAAATGGGTGATCTCCACTTCTGTTGGAATGTAATTTAATAATTAACTGCACTAATGCAAGAAAGTTAATTATATCATAGCCTCCTCTAGAGTCTATGGGTTTCTGCGTGACCCTGTGGTATGATTGAATTTTTTTTAGTAGATTTGTTTTCCTGAAAAAAGAGAGAGAGTATACCAGCTCCGAATGGCAACGTCCCGCATCGTCATGTTCCACACAGTTGCAAAAATCTATACTACATGTGTATCTAACAAAATTC